TACGCCACCTCGGGCCGTGTTCTCAGGCGACAGCTCCTTTGCTTTCTCAGCGGCCCAGGTTGACTCGCCGGTCTTCGGCGATCCCGGCCCCTTCCCGGCAAGTTCTCAAAAGAGCCCCGCCGACGGGCTCTCCGGGGCCTTCCAGACCGCGTCCCCCGGCCCCCGGCGCCTACCCCAAGTCCGCCTCCCCAGCGTCCGGCCTCCCCGCCGCTCTCAGCACCTTCGAGTGGATGAAAGTGAAGAGGAACGCCCCCAAGAAAAGTGAGTACTCGAGTCTTGGACGGACGCGCCTGGGCAGGGGACAGGGCCCCCTCCGCGGAATTGCGCTAGGAGAACCTTGCAGCTGTTCCTCTAGACGGCGGTTTGGGGTCTAGGGAGGAAATGCGTTCCCGGGTGTTGTTAAAGCAGGAGAATCCTAATGAGCGCGCTCCGGCCACACGCTCGCAAAGTGTGCCAGGCGTGGAGAAAAGTGCAGGACGGGGCTCGCTCCACGGAGCATTCCCCAGGCTCAGCTCTGTCCGCAGAGACCCGGGAAGGCTGCGCTGTGACTTGATTCTAACAGTACGTTCTAACTGTAGCCCTCCTGCTCCCCGGTGTTGGGTCTCCGTGTCCTCTCGCCCCTGCTGACGATCTGTCTTTACGTTGCAGGCAAACTCGCCGAGTATGGAGCCGCTAGCCCCTCCAGCGCGATCCGCACGAATTTCAGCACCAAGCAACTGACCGAACTGGAGAAGGAGTTTCATTTCAATAAGTACTTAACTCGAGCCCGACGCATCGAGATAGCCAACTCCTTGCAGCTGAATGACACCCAAGTCAAAATCTGGTTCCAGAACCGCAGGATGAAACAGAAGAAAAGAGAAAGAGAAGGGCTTTTGCCCTCGGCCACCTCTGTGGCTTCCCTCCAACTTACCTTCTCAGGCAAGAACCTGGGGAGCCCTTCTCAGGCCCAAGAGCCCTCATGAGACTTAGTCTTGAGGCTGAGGAAACTTGGCCTGCAGAAGTCATAGGCCAGCCCACCCCTGTCTAGACTTACTAGCTCGGTTTGGGGTGGAAGTGGGCCTGTGCAGAAAGAGAGGTTTCACTTGGGAAAGGAAGTATCTTAGTCACTTCTGAGTTCCAGGCTGTGGGTGTACAGATACTAATTGGAGGTCTCTTCAGCCACTCATATGTGTATGATCTGTGTCTTATCAGGGAAGAGGTGCCTGGCTGCCAGCCCAGCCCTGCTGCTATGTTGCCTTAGTCAGATGCAATTCCTGGGTGCAGAGTGGCAGTGCAGTAGTTGCAGAGCTCTAGCAACCCCCTGATGTGCTCCAAAGAGCGTCTACCCAAAGTTTTTCTGGTTTTAATTTAAAGGACAAGGCTACCTGTATTCAGCTTCTTGAGATGACCAAAGCTAGTTAGAGCTTCCCTGATGTAGCTAAGCTGCTTCAATGATGATCTTCACATTTGCACTCCAGTTTTGTTTTTCTTTAAGAAGCAGTTTCTACCTCTCCATGTGCCTGAGTGAAGATACAATCGCTGTTTAGTTAGTAGCTGAACAAAGCCGCAAGGTGGGTAAAGATTAGAACCTGAACTAAACCTTGATTCCAGTTACTCAAACTTGAATGTAAATATATACAGTATGTATATTTTTAAAAAGGTTTGCTTGAAATGAACATATATGGCATTTAATGTCATGGCATGTAAAAGGTTTGAACTGTTTTATAATAAAAATTACAGAATATACTACTCTCTGCTTTTCCTTACTCTCATTTTTGTTTTCTTTCAAGTTGATTCGGTTTCTTCTATTTGGAATTTCTTGATTCTGCTATGGAAATTTGTTTAGGTTGATAACTTTAAAAAATAACACTTCTTAAAGGTTGGATACACAAACAAGTTTGGGATAATTATCTGAACAGGTTAAGGGAGAGAAAAAAAACTACTCTGCCAAATATCAACTAACCTAGGAATTCCTTACCTTAAATGCCCTAGTTTTATGGCAGATATGGAGACTGCACATTAACCTGTAGATTAGGTGCTCCCTGTAGGAATGTTATAAAGTCAAGGAGACACTGCAGGGAGTTGCTGTATTTTTGTCTCCTGGTCTTACAAAAGGAAGAGGAAAGGTGACCTGAAGACTTTGCTAGTTGATTAGTGTACTCAGCTGCTCATCAAAAGTTCTCAGTGTTGAAATTCCTATTTCCAAAGTCAAGTATTTTAAAGAGGCTTGGAGACGCCAGTAGTCAGAGCTTTCTACTTCTTCTAACCCAGACTGAGCATCTGGCCTTACAAGAGATAGCACAGAGGTGCTTTAAGTACTTTCAAATGAAGTCATAGAAAGAAGTACAAGCAGAGTTTGAAACTTGGCATGAGGGTATGTGGTTAGGGTATGTGGTTGAAAAAACACACACAAAAACTCTCTCTAACCTTATTTCCATCCAGTTCCCAATCCTGAAGGCATCTGTGGTTGACCAAGTTTTTATGTAACCTTACAGAAATATTATTTGAAAAAAATGTAATTTTAATACACAAAATCCAGTAGATACTTGGGACAATTGTTAGGGCAGGTCATTTTCTTCACTATATAGATAGCTGTAGCTGTATCTTTAAGTTCTCTGTATAATTCAACTGAAAGGCTTAAAGCCCCAAATAATCCAGATAAGAACCTAAGCTCTTCTTTTCAGCTAGGATATCTAGATTCTTAGGGTAGTGCCTCAAATCCAATAATTCAGAGAACTAATGATTGTAGAGGATTACTTTCCTTATAAAACAGCAATGTGATTAATTGTCTTAGAATATTGAAATTATAATGAAATTCCTGTCCTTTGTACTCTTTCACAGTCTAATGGAGTTGAAGAAATAAGATTGTCAGCTCTAACAAACTCAGCTGATAAGCGGGAAAAGATATCACTTAAAAAGCAGGTCTGTCAATATTATTCTTATGTTTTGCCATCTGCCCTTCACTAACTTGATGCGAATCAGATCTTGTTTAAAACAACATCCTCCCCTCTGAGCTCTGTAGCTGTGTGAAAGGACTTGTTAAAGGAGTTGTGATCAGCTTGCTTACAGCCACCTCCGGTTTCCCCTGCAGTGGTCTTTGACAAGACAATGTTTCCTTTTTGATAAGCGTTCAAATGTACACCTAAACAAAAGAGTACCAAGAGGTTTGGTCATTTCCTTAATCTACTACCCCTTTCTTTGAGAAAATAAAGCTTTTTTTTTTTTTTTTTAGCTACTACTAGCACTTAACCCTGATGGATGTCTCCCTTGATGAAGGTGGCTATTTTGACATATGTATAATGCTCTTCCATGAATCAGGCCAATATTAGCTATTTTTTGACCAACCCGAGGGATCTTTAAAAGCTTTCTTAATGCAGATCACTAAATAGCGATATTCAGTATTAGAGAGAATTCTGGCTGAAGATCGGGACAAACTAGATGACCTCTGGAGGTCCCTTTCTTTTTTTTATTCTAAAATAAAATGTTTGTTTCTTTAAAAAAATGTTATCTTTATTGTTGAAAGTATTACAGATGCCCCCTTTTCCACCCCTATTGACCCCCTCCACCCTGCTCCTGCCCCCTCCCCAGGCCTTCCCTGCACTATATATATTGTCTGTCCATGGGCTATGCATATATGCATATAAATTCATTGCTTAATCTCTTCCTGCGCCTCCTCTTCCCTCTGAAATATGTGAGTCTGTTGAATGCTTTAATGTCTCCAGATCTTTTTTGTTTATTTTGTTCATTAGGTTCCACATATAAGTGAGGTCATGTGATATTGTCTTTCTCTGACTGGCTTATTTCGCTTAGCATAATATTCTCCAGGTCCTGGAGGTTCCTTTCAGCATGAAAGTGCTACAGAAACAATTCAATGACTTCTACATAGTTTATTTTAGGCCTATCATTGGAAGAAAGAGAATTCAGTTCTAAGAAAGCAAATACCTTCCCCAGAATTATGAGGAGACTGTGTTTATATAGGAAAAGTGGATTTTAGAAATTATCAAATACATCTCATCGGTGGAGGTAACTAGCCCACGTGGATTATTTATAGAACAGTTCCCTTCTCATTATTCAGAACCTTGTGTTATTTTGAGTCAGATCTTCCATGAAGTGTGATGGTTACTACTCAAATTGGGCAACTGCTAAAACAATCCCATTTCTTCTTAACAAGATTTCAAATTAAACTTGCTAATTCATCCTTCAGTGACCCATTATAGGAATGAATACACAATGGACAGTCTGGCTGTTGTATAATTAACTATTCAATGTTCGTTTCCACAGAGTGACCATGTGTCTATTTTTCTGGAATCAGGATAGTTGGGAGTGAGGAAAAAGAAATAAAGCATTTAATAGCACATAAAACTTCCATTGCTTGAGTACTAGCAAATGAAGGTCTTGCTGATGTAAAATCCTAAAGCAATGTCACCTAGATTCTCAAAAGATTAATTGTATGCAATTTATTCTGCCTCAATCTCATATATGGCTAGGCCCAAGACCAGAAGAGGTTATGTCCGATTAGCATGTCATTAGAAAGGAGGGGCAGGGGCAGGAGAGTTGCATTAGCTCTGATGTTCTTAATTATGTCTTATGGCCAAACAAATGCTCTATATTTGCTGAATATTGAATTTGAAAACCTCAGCACCTAATCAGTTTCAGAGAGATGTTTAGTCTGACCACAGACCTCTCAACAAGAAAAATGCCCATTGTTAAAACTTTATTTGTGGTTTTAAAGTGAAACCATACTGGACATATCTCACAAATAATGATAAATCTCCACCTAACTAGAAATCAAGATTTTCATGGTTTTGACTTCTATAGCATATTTCCAGGGCATAAACATGCAACAAATATACAAAATAGTTCTATTTAACATCTAGCTTATATCTGCTTAGGTTATACGTGTTATTCAGAAATATAATCTCAATAGAAACTGTTTAGCTAAATTCCATAATGAATTAAGAAGAAAGAAACCCTAAATAGTGAATAAAAGGGAAGTCTATTACTTAGATCAGAGATAGGGAACGTCCAGCCCTTGGGCCATATACGGCCCACAGAATCTTTTGGTCTGGCTCTGCCAAGGCATTAGGGGTGAGTTAATTAATGTTTGGCCAAATATAGCAGGCTAATTTTTTAAAAATATATTTTATTGATTTTTCACAGAGCGGAAGGGAGAGGGATAGAGAGTTAGAAACATCAATGAGAGAGGAACATCGATCAGCTACCTCCTGCACACCTCCTACTGGGGATGTGCCTGCAACCAAGGTACATGCCCTTGGCCGGAATCGAACCTGGGACCATTCAGTCTGCAGGCCGACGCTCTACCCACCGAGCCAAACCGGTTAGGGCTAGGAGGCTAATTTTTAACTTGATCATTTTTAATGGCCCACGAATGATGTTATAAATATCCGAATGGCCCTTGGCAGAGAAAAGGTTCCCCACCCCTGACTTAGATTGTAAAGATTTAAAACATCACCTCTTCCATTTCTAATAGTGTGATTGATATAATTTGGACAGGATGGCCAAAGAGAGGACATTTGGACTTATAATAGCGAATAAAGCAGGTTACTGACACTTTGAGGCATTTCTAGAGGGCGATAGACTATTAGCACATCCCATCCTTAGGGGTTGTGTAGAAGTTAACCTATAATTTGAGGGGTCCTCTTTAAGAAAAAAACACACAAAATCATAAATACAAAATTGTTAGGCCACCTCCCAGGATCTACTAGAAGGACCCAAGTTAGTGAAGCTTAAGTTTCTTTGGGTTCATGGTAAATCCATCTCTGCCCCTTCCTGAAACCATTGCTTCATGCCCACTATCCAGCCATTGCCTATAAGATGGTCACAATGATTTCTTTTCTCCAACATCTTGGAGCCAGAATTACTGTTTGATTGTCTTCAAGTGCATTCAATAATATATATTGCGCGGACAAGGGCAGGTTGGGACTTTGTTCTACAATCTGAGCATCGCAATCTCACTCTGCTTTGGGCTACTGGCTGGCTGAATTACTTCACCGCCTTGGAATGGGAGCCCTCTCTCATCCTTGGGGGCCTTTTCTGTGTATTTCCTTCTCAATGATACAAGCAGAAGAGAAATACAGGGTTAGAGAGCCCACAGCTACAATTAGCTTCTAAAAATTTCACAGAAGGATGGAATCACTGAGACTGAAGTAAAGAACTGTGTAACTAA